CCTGGGCAATATGCTCTAGGTGACCCTGCTTGAGCAGGGGGGTTGGAGTAGCTGATCTCCAGAGGTCCTTTCCAACCTCATCCATTCTGTGATTCTGTGATTCTGTGAAATCAGATCCCTTCCATCTGATTTATTTACTTACCTGACTAAACACCAAGGGACATGGGAGAGTTCTTGCTAGGCTTTAAGCTTCTCTTAACATCTCCATGCTGTTTGATTATTCTGGAGGCTAGAAAGGCTTAGTGAATAAATTAAACAACTGCTAGCTGTCTGCCCACGCTGTTCCCTGGGCCACAATGCTATCTCGGCATCTCCCCAGCACTCAATAACCCAACCCCAGCAATTCTTTCTGGTTCCCAGCTTTTTTTTCTGACATGCCTGCAGCAACGAGTTCATAAAGAAGCTCTTGTAAGGCAGCGGGACGGGAGATCCATGATCCTGTGAGGCCAATCCTTCCTCAGAGAGACAGGAAGCCTCGTGCTGGTCCAGCTAGATGCTTTCTGTGTTGCAAAGTGGCATCCAAATGAGGGTTGGCCCTGGAGAGAAGTTCTGATCTACTTTCATCAGTGACAGAGCTCTCAGACACACTGTATTTTGTCCATTCTGGGGGAGGCAGAGTTACTTGGGTGGCTGCAGAAGAACTCGTATTTGCAGATGACAGAGGCTGCCAAAAGTTGCGTACGAAGCGTAGAAGTATGATAGGAGGAAGAGATGTAGGAAGAAGGGTCAGAGAGGGCACAGAGTGCCATGTAAAACTCAAAGATTTACAAAAACAGTTCCATAAATTACCTAGATTATGCTTATTCATGGTTTCCATAAAGTTACAGCCCACCGAAAATATTATTCAATTAAAAAAAATTAGAAAATATGCGTGGAACTGTGGGAAAGCTGAGATGTGAACACCCCCAAACTTTCTTTTCCTATAATCTAGAGCTAGATTTTGTTATCTGAGCCCATGCCTAATAAAGAGGAAATTGCTAGTTTTCAGCAAGAACCTATGGGTAATGGAAACAGGCTGTTGATTGAATTTAGTCTTGAAATGAGCATGACATGAGTAAAGGCTGCAGTTGTTTATTTTCACACTGTGACAAACATGATTAGTTGGCTATGCTGATTGTTCCCACTCCACCAATTCTATCAGGTGCTAAAATCAGTTCTTCAGCTGAGAAACACTAGTCCTTATGTAGTTAAGAAGATGGAAGAAGAAGAGCATATGTCACATAGATTGGAACTGATGGTATCCATGATCTCAGAACCTATACCCAAAACCAAACTAGAATTAATATTGCAGGAATTGATCTAATTTATTAGCAATTTAAAATTCTAAAATGACTTCTGTTTAAGTATTTAGGTTGGGAAAATAGATGCCATCTCATTTCTTTGAACTCAGCAAAAAACCAGTTTCTTTTTAAATGAGGAAGGGGTAACTCTGGGCACTTTGTTTTCCTGACATGAAGCAGACAGTGTGTAATCTATACCTGAAATCTGAGTTTTGCAGACAAGGTGAAAAGAAACAAATTTGACTTCTGAGTAACTGTTCAAAAGTCATGACATACATGCACGCAGAGGAACCACAGTCTCTTAAATAACTTTTTACAAAAGAGAGCCCATAAAACTAAAGCCACACAACCTATTCATATGTTTTCACAGGAACTTGGTATTTTGCTGGTGAGCATAATCTTTTCTAATACCTTTGTACATTTTATTTTGCCCTTTTTGTCTAGCAGTTAGACCACAGGTCTGCAAGTCGCAGCACAAAGGTACCATTCCTTCTCTTCATTACCCTCATATCTGACCTCAATCAAGACACTTAAATCATTAAATTTCCCTGTACTTTCATCTATAAAACTGTAAAATACTCGCCCATCCCTATTGCTCAACTTCAGGATCCTCACATGAGAGACATTATATAACTAGCATTTATTAGTGTAGGTAAGTTCTGATTTCAGTTACACCCACGCAACCTGCTTGTTCATGTGTAACAGCATAATTTCTGTGACTTCCTTTCTGCGCAAGGGTTTAGTGTTATCTGCGTTAGGAAGTATGATTAAGGGAAGAAATATGCTGCTTTTTTTTTAAAGTGTTTTAAATATATGTTTAGCATATGTCTTTCCTTCCACAGAAGCAATGTTATTTTTTTCTAAGCCGAAACATCTGAAAAACTTGCTTGAGTGAGATACTTGGTTGAGATAGCCAATTAATATTTTCCATGAGGGTTTCATTCTACATGACAAGAAAATTTTCTTTGAAGTGCTAAGCATCTGTTTTTGTCATCAATTTCAGTAAAAATTAAGGGAACTCAAAAACTCCAAAACTGAACTTTGGATGGAGCCAGTCGCATGGAGGTTGTTCATGCTCAAGTATTAATTATAAAAAATATTGGCATTGATGCACAAACTATTTCATTTAGAGAACTGCTGATTATCGGCCACCTAGCTAACTGTGACACTTTAAACACTCTGCAATTCCTAGAAAGAGGTAAGTTAGTTAATGGTCATATGAAGATGCAAAGATAAACGGGAAAAGGCTGAAGAAGTAACGATACCAAAAACACATCAGCAGTTTGTTTGAATCAGGTCTTTGAACAAACTACTAGAAGTTGATGCAGATTTTTAGACTGTTGTATGCTGACAGGCCCTTGTGTATGCCTACTAATGGCAAAGTCATTATATTTGTTATCGACACTGAACAATAAAAATCAGAGGTAGCAGTTTTGTCATCAATGCAATAAGTGTTGCAACAAGCCTGATGTTTCTGTAGTGCTATGTGTCTGCACATTTTAAAATTCATAAACTATGCATTTTTTTTTCAAATTTTTTACACATCATATCAGAGTCCAATCTCTTCTACATACAGTAAGCATTTACTTGCCATAAATACCACATCAGTGTGTAGACACGGCAAGAATAATTGGTAGAATTCATCCTTTTCTAAATGCTTACCTGGCTTTTGCAAGAGGATTGTGTGACTCCAGACTTCAGGGTGAGTTGATCAATACTGAACTGTCTCCACTTCCCATCTATAAGGCACTGTGCTTTTATTTCAAACTTAACTTCCTGCTCCAGCCTCAGGCTGATACGATTATGCGCAGCAGCAAAGAAAGATAAAGCTGGGTCTGTGTGCTTGACTGTGAAAAAGTAATGAATTAAATTCAGTAAATTCAGTGATGTGTATTAGAAAGCCAACTACTAAATACTGTTTGTGTCAACTGCTAATTGCAATTTAGACTGGGAGACAGTAGCCCACGGTTACGCTAGGCTTTTCCCGAGGCAGCGCTAGGTTAAAGTAGCGCTGCCATTCACTGTATGACAAAGGCCTCAGGAAGCATGACTTAAGTAGGACTTGATGGCATATCGCTTGGATTAGAGACCTCTGAGATATAAAGCAATAAGTGCATTCTCAGATGATGATCTTCTCCCTAATTTTTTGCTAAAAATGGCCTACTATTGTGTTAAGAGGAGAAAGCGTACTGAAGGTTTCTGAGGCAGCTGTGTGCTCTACATAGGTGATAAAATTCTCTGTGAAATTTTCAGCAATGAGTGTATCTGATTTCCCTAAAATTTTTTCTGTCGTTTCAAACGGATGAGTCACCCTAGACTTTTCATCCAGAACCACAGGATTCTGCAAGATTGCTGTACGTAGTTAAGCAAGCATGTGTTTCCGTAAAAAGTGAAGCGATTCCCTAGTAGGTACTGCCACTCCTTCCAGAATCACTGGAAAACAGGTGTCAGTAAAGGGCTGGGGAAACAATTTCTGAAGCACTTTGCCACCCCAAATGAAAGATCCAAGTTCCAAACCTAGACATTGGCAAGTACTTGTTGGTGTTTCGAGGGCTTGTTCCACATCTGAACGTGGCCCTGCAAATGTAATTTACTTAAATGCTTGTGCAAGAAGAAAGATAAACTTTGGTTCAATTTTTTTATTTACTGCATCTCCTCCATGCTGCTGTGTTAACAGAAGTCGAAAGTTAATGCCAGCTGAAGTGATTTTTTTCAGGGGCAACCCTAAGCATATTCTCTGCTCTCTCTTCCAGTACTTCCTGGCATACAGGCATGAAGGTAAACTGGAGTGCTTTGGTGTTTTCACTTCTGAATGTACCTTTCTAACTATTAATTTGTCAGCTCAGCCCTGCAAGCATAAAGTTTGTCTTGATGGGCGTTTTGATTGCGAGACTGAACCTGGTAAGTACCAGAAGCTCTGGAAACTCCCTCTACAGCAGACTGGCAGTAGAACATAGGTATTGCAAAAAACCATATTTACAGCCATCACCAATATTATTAATAGGCCTACAGTTTATTCAGACAGGAAATTGTTACTGACCGCTTTAATTTAACTAAACAAATGAAACCACCCCATTACTCATTCAAATCTAATAAACCACAGAACACAGAAAAGGAAGTGAGCACTTTAAAATGGCTTAGAGAGAAGTTCTCACTTTGTTTTGCCATTTAATTAAAGCCAGACTCTTTACAGGAAAGGGAATAATTAAATGGCAACAACATGTGTACTATGATAATCTTCTCGGTCAGCATCTCAACGTGCAACTTACTACTGGAGGTAGAGAGGCTGTTAATGCTCTTCTCTATGTTCCCTGAGCATTACCTGCTCTTTCGGGAGAAAAGAATTATAAAATACATTACATACCAAAGCTGGCTTATTCTGTCATGTCCTGTTGATGATATGGGGCTTCATTAGAAGGAGGATAATGAAATAAATTTCCTGTCACTTAATGTTTGCAGACATTCAGAAACCAGCTTCCTGAAAATGCGCCCTGCAAAACACCCGACAAATCACCTTTTTATAGGCATATAGGCATCTTGGTATTTCCTGATAATCAAGTGTTTAAGATTTCAACAAAATACCCTTGCACGTTATACGTTTAATATTTGCATTTCTAGCAATAGCTAATTACATGACATGGTGTGTATGCATATGTGAATATTATCTTTGCATCCAGAAGGCAGAAAAAGCATGAATATACTTGTACCACAGTGAGAGATTGCTATAATTGTTTGCCTTTTTTTCTCAACATCAGATTACTACTTTAAAGTAAGGTTATTTCATAAACAGACCAAAATGCCACTGGCACTATGGGAACTCTTACTTCAGTGTAGAAGCTGTACGGCGAACCTTCATGTCTGACTGCTTTTATCTCAAAAAAGAATTCATAAATGCAAATTATTTCCTCATAGTATCATGACTTCTAAAAGACGATTAAAGAAGTAAAACATGGGTACCTACTCATCTCAATAAGTGGGATCAAATGTCACAAAGACTCTAACAAGAAAAATGTTATTGTAACATAAAGTCAAAGAAATAGTTTAAAGATAATATCACACTAGAAAGTAAGGTCTGCAGTGAAATACTGCTAATTCAAAATGAAGATAATAATCATTCTGCTGAGACCACAGTGAGTCCACATTCCTCTGTGCCACTGGAAAATACTGTTGCAAAACTACACCATCTTGAAATTACTTTTTGGAGCTGTAAACTACAGCACAGTAAAATTCAGTGGAGAACTGGACCTGCGTCGCTAGTCGCTTAGCTGATCAAAACTCCTGAAGAGCGACTGTGGCAAAGTGCTGAAGTAATTGCTGCTAAACTTGCTCACTGGGAAAGCAGCAGATATTAATCATGTGTTTCCAGCACTCCTCTTGCATAGCTTTTGTAGACTATACAACCAACATGTGTTGTAAGCTGCGGCTCACTCTCTTTTCCTTTCAGGTGGAGAATGGTGACGACATGACAGACCACAGTGGTTCCTCATTGCAAGCAGTGACATTTGGTGTGGTGCTTGAACAGGTAGGCAAGCCGGGAAACATAAACAATATGGTCAAACTCTCAAGATTCAGCATACTTTCCAGAAAATACCAATATGTTATGTGTGTAATGTGCATATTTCTGGAAAATTATGAATCATATACTTTTTTTCCTGTAAAAATTACAGCTGTTTTCTAGAATGTCAAATCTGTAACCCCTTTCAAGTAGCAAAACAAATTAAGTATGACTAGCTAAACTTGTAGGGAGAATATTTTTAAGAATGCAAAGTAGAGCAGATTGAATCTCATTTTGCAATGTGTCTGTGATTACGAAGAGAAAAGAGCTGGCTCCAAGGAAGAACTGCATGGATAATACAGTTCATGCATGGGAGCGATGCATAGCAACAAAACCTAATTCACTTATCAGTCACTAATTCAAATCTAGTTCATTCTGGTGGTGACTGAAGGGGGATTTTAAGAAGTATGTGGGCTTCTCTGGTGTGCAATACAATTAATACATCTTCTTGTTAACTTTCTTCCTGCGAGCATTGGACTAAGCTTGCTGTACATTACAGTGTCTACAGCAAATGAGGTGAGAGCTGTTTCAGTCCAGTTCCAAACTGGCAAGCATCTTATAGCAAACACTTACCATCCCCACTGTGAAGGAGGTAAAACTGAAGGGTCCCAAAGAGCACTGACAGTGATGAAGGGAAAAGCCATCCCTGCCGCTGTCTCTCTCTCTGTTGTAGGGCTATCTATCCCAATTGCCTAAGAAAGCTGAGGCACCTTAATGTTTAGTGAGAGAGCAGAGAAAGGACAGCAAGGCTGAGACTTTGCCACAGAAATCGATATGATAATCACAGCTGTTTGCCACCCCACTGTTAGAAATGACTGCACCCCAGGCAGGGCCAGCGGAAAAGCATGCAAGGGCTGCTGCACTGTTTCAGGGCAACCAGCCAGTTTAGCCTTCACTGCTTTTGCAGCAGGCTAAACTGCAAGGGAAAGCTTTACCTGAAAGTTCCCCTAGACTTTATCAAATTATCCTTAAAATTCTCCAGAATCTGCAACATTGCACAGAGAGGAACAAACTCCTATATACTTTAAAAATATTAATCATTAAATACTAGGAATGTCCTATACAGTATTAGTGAAGGAATAGCTGTTTCACACTGTTTCGGAAGGAATAGCTGGATGTTCGGAATATAGTGCACTCTTCAGAAACCTGCAGAAAGTCAAAAAATGATTTATAAAGTGCAAGTAAGGATAACATTAGTCTAGCCACCAGGCTAAAAATATCTTCCTTTCTGTTCTCATCTACTTTTTTGCATTAGTACCCTGCCTCATTTACTGTGGTACCTAATATCCCAAGGACTATTACCAAAGCTGTTTTATACATACAACAGGGAAGAAAAAGCCTTTCAGTCCAGAGGTTGCTTTTGACACCCTGCTGTACAACTTCTGACATAACATGGCACAAATCTTACCAGGACTTGAGGGTACCTTGTTAGTATATAATGTAATTACTGTAGTCCAATAATCTGAGTTTCAGGAAATACACTCATTTCCATTTTTGTTCTGCAAAGGATTGTTCCAACTCACTGCATGGTAATGCTTGGACAGGAGCCGTATCAGCCAAGGCGCTGGAAAGAAGTTAATGTCCTGCAAATCTTCCAGATGCTTGCCTGCAAGAAGGGGAGAGTTTGGTTTTAACAGCTGCCTATCCAAGGGAATGCCATTGTAACGCCCTGTGTTCATACACGTTGAGTTATTTAGACAGTGGTATTTCCTGCTCTAAAATTGTACATTCCTATCACTTCCTCTGCAAGAATAACTTTGGCATAAGCAAATAGCAGCCTTCAAAGGGAGATTCCACTGCATTATAGTTTAACCTGAACTGCAGCAACTGTGAAAGTCCCTGGGTAGTGAATGCCATCAAAACAGTCTCACTAGTTCTGGCTAAGGATCCCTCGGCTACCCACTAAAATAACCTTCCACAAAAGGGCCTAAGGGAAGGGGTCCCGGCTTAGCCCCTGGTCAGGGGCACAGCAGATAGGCCAGTAACAATTGCTGCATTCTGTCTGGGCACGTTTTGTTCACGTTCCCATTCTGCTGGGACTGGTCCGCGTGAGGCTTTAGGAACAACTCTTTTCTGGGAGTACTTACCAGCCAGCACATCTAACAGGGTGGCTGTGCACTCCTCGGGGAGACAGTTGCACCCTGGAGCAGGATTTCATCTTCTTCTGCTGAAACTAAAAACTGGGACCTGTATGGGCTTTGCAGTGGAGGGCAGAGTCATTTATGGGTTGCTTTTTGGTTATCAGATCCATTTTGGTCTATGTGAGTCGTTGTAATATGGTGCACGGTTATTGAAATGTTAAGGTGGTTTGCCATTAAAGTGAATAAGAAATCTTTATTATACAAATACTGAAGAGACCTCTTCCTCTCCAATCACTTCTCCAGCTGTTACAAGAAATGACAGTATGGCCTTGTTAAACAAAAAAAACCCAAGTCCCCAACTTTCAAAACAGAATCCTTTCTAGTGTATCTCATGTTTCATGTTTGCTTACTCAATTGTTTAAACAGTTCATGTTTGCTTAAGCAACTAGATTTATACCCCGGATCAGTAAATAAGCCTGTTACTGTATGCTTTGCTACAGTTACTTCTACCCTGCATTACATATATACAAAGGGAGAGCTATAATACGTAAACTGGCATCTTTAATCAAAAAGACCTGAAATTTTAGATTTGGTTTGCTGTATGAAAAAAGGTACACAGCCATTTGCGACTGCTCAGATCCAGGATTCAAGTTTAGAGCATCTCTCAGCAAAATGGTACCAAAGCAAAAACATTAGGGCAGGCAATAAAATGTGAATCCAGAAACTCTGTGTATTAGATTTTACTTTGGTTTGGCTGGAACTGCTGGATTCTATGGAGCTCTGTCTTCTCCGGCTTTGAGGTTACACATCAGAGCTTCACTATTTTTTATCTGTTCTAGGATGTCACTTTTTAATCACTGGTATAAATACTGATTCTGACTACTAGGTGGAAAGAATATTTTTTAGATAAAGTTTTACATTGTCCATGTACGTTCACAGGAGGTAAGGGTTTAGTAGAAATATGCCCCACTGTAAAGGAGACAGATCCTGAAACGGTGTTGTAGTGCATGCAGAACTGTTACTGAAATTTCAAACTCTTGCCTTTGAAAATATGAGCCAGTAAGGTTTAAATCACAAGAAACACTATAAAACTTACTTGAAATAATTCCATGTAAATGAAGGGACTGAAAAATAGCTATGTATCTCTGTCCTATTTCCCTTTCCAGGAAGGAATATCTCTTGGGTAATCTAAAAACAAAACAAAGTAGCAGAAAACTTTACTTAACCTCAAGTTAATTTCCTATCCAGACTAAATTTAGCTGTTTAGATTTTGTTTTGTGTATGTGCCTCCCAGCATACTACATTTCAGAGGGATGTTTGGCATTTGTCTAAGTTAACTGTTATGACACTCTGGTTCAAACTGTCTGATTTAATTTCATATCTTAACATTAATTTTTGACATGAAGTTCCTCTTTATTTTTGGAAGCTGCGGTAGTGGAATTGCAGAAAGATTCTGATAAAGCTGATGACTGTCAAATTTCACACACTGAAAAAGCCCAACCACCCACATAGTAAACTGCACGTAAGAACTCACTTCAAACGACTTCTGCCTCTCAAAGAGCAGGCAAAAGATGGGGGAGAAGGGAAAAAAAACATTATCATACAAGTTTCTCCACGTTTATTTTGAAACAGGCAGTCTTTAATTCAAGGAAGATCAAGTCAAGGACCAGCCCAAAACAGTTAGATTATTTTTCCATGAGTCAAGAGTTATACTCAAAACAAAAATTGCCCTACAAATACCAAGGCTATGCTGGTGCACTGCACGTTTCCCAGCACAGGTCACTGTTGCCAGCCTCCTGCTACAGAAAAAAAAAAAAAGATCTGACAAATGGTGTGGAAAGTTTTTAAAACTTTATTCATTCTGTCTGTCTCTGTCTTTTTAAAATCTTTCATTTTAAAGCCAGAAATTATTTTTACTGTCATCAGCTCAAGGTGTTTAAAATCTAGGAGGAAAATAAGAGAGTAACAAGCACATTTAAAATTCTCTAAAAATGACAATAAATATTCTTCTGGATATAAGGATTTGGGAAAATGGAGGATCACAACAAAGCATTTCTTCTCTTACCTGAGAATTTCACCTTCTGAATGGTATGCGTCTTCTTCCAGGGTAATGACGTGTCAGCTTAGCAGTCTGTCGCTGAAACGACAACTAAGTCATCGTGCTTTTCATATCTAGTCCAGTAAAACAGGAGAAGGAAAAGGAAGGGAGGAAAATAAACAATTTTTAAGCAAGAGAATTTTTTAAAAATCACAGCAGTTTGTACATGTAAAAGATAATTTCCTTACTATCATAAGGCTGAATGTTAATGTTAGAACAAATGCTGCAAGATTGGTTCTTGGATGCCATGCAAGTAAAACAATCCAAAGGGTATGACAAATACACTGATGGACTGACTTTTTAAACCAAAAAAACCCAGGCCCCCAACTTGCAAATCAGAATCCTTGGTGCAGTAGCTATGAATACCAGAATTTGAACTCCTGAAACGAAATTAAAAATGTTATATGTTTATGAATCCAGCATAGGCTGCAGTCACCTTTTTCTGTTGTGCGAGAAGAAATACTGTCTGACACAGGCACGCTCAGAATGATATTGGACATCCTATTCCTGTCAGATCAGAAGATTTTTCTTGATTAAGAGCAGAAGTATCAACTGGGAATTATTCCCTCTCTTTTTTATGAATTGTCTGTAAATATACAGTAAGGCGTTTCATTATATATTATCCGTTTGGAGGAAAAACGGTATAACAATTACGTTATCTCCAATTAAGTTGCATAAAACACACTTGTTAAATTGAACCATTATTTTCTTCATTAACTTAAAGGTACAGTTAACATTTTGCTATTCACACTTATGAATGATAGTAACCTTAGAGGTAAATTAAAAGAAAGCCGTACTACATGTAATACCAGCAATTTAATCTTCTATAATCATTAACACTCTTTACTAAGTCTGTATAGTTGGTTCACTTTTTGATTATTTGCTGGAGTAAGAATTTAGGGCTAAGCCCTTGCTAATTCCCAAACCAAAATAACCTCTTTCAGATTAATGAGACTGTATGAGATGCAAGTCAGGAATGAATTTGAATTAAGATCGTTTCCACTCTTACAGTAGTGGATTCTCTTTCTGTCACTGGCACTAACAAATGACATAATCACAAGCAGGACAAGAAGAAGCAGCTGGTTGCTAGTAGTAAACTAAGTGGTAAATAATTAAAACAAGTAACTCTAGGAAGGAAAAATGTAATAAGTTGTTCTACTGTAATAGTCATATTTTTCATCTAATGATACCCAGATCTGGCTGAGATCTATGCAAGCTGATTCGGGGCTATTTTTCAGAGTTAAGCGCAGGTGGTGTGAAAGACTATTCAAAACAACCATATGTAATATCTAACTAACAACTTTTGTTGACTAATTATTAATAAGTGATTCAAGAGGAAGAAGCCCCTTAGCCGAAGAATGTGCTGCTGGTGGTAGACTTAACAGTGATACTATAGGTATCGATCCACAGGGCTTAGGCGGCACTGAGCAAAAAAGGAAACTTATTTTCCCTACTGTTTCCCCAAGTAGTTGTTAGCGAAGCAAATCAACATCCGCAGAAGGCAAGAGAAAAGGTCTCTGTTTCTGATGTAACTTCCCAATTGTTTTCAATCAAAGTTTTCCATATGCTGCCTTTTGTTGATGCATTGTAAAGTGAGCTAAATGTTCTGATTGCAAAGAGTACATCTATGCAGGTCAGCTGAACACTGCAACTGCAACAACTTCTAAAGGAAATGAAGGAGAAATATCAGTCATTTGATTGTCAGAGTTGCTGTGCATTCATAGATTCTGTTCACTTTGAGCCACACTGGGTGCAATTTTAAAAAGGGATCATTACAAATTAGAAATGAGCTACAATTCCATCATATCTCCTCCCCCACATTGTGAAAGGTCACAGTTGGCTGGGCGTCTGTGTCATTGTATCTGAACTCAGAAAGTGGTAAAGGAACTTAGAAGTTGTTTTTCCCACAAAAAAAAAGAACAATTGCACACCACTTCCATTTTCTGAAGAGGAAATGGTGATTTGTCTCAGCTATGGTATTGCCTGGGAATACAGCAGCCTTTGGAAATAAAGGAGTTAAACAGCAAGTTCATATAAACTCTGGAAGAAAACATATTGTTTGATTGCTCCTTTCTAGGGTGAATAAGCACTAATGCTTCAAAGCACCTTTTCTGTTTGAGATCCAGCGTGCCTCTGACTTGGCTGATTTTTATTGAATCCTACCTCGGGTCTAATACAAATAATATGCCACACCTGAAAGATGCAGCTACACTGGAAAATCTCAGCCTAATAAAAACAAGCAAGAAATGCACTGAAATGCTTTGAAATTCAGTCATCTCAGCAGGCAAGAATTCCAAGCCACAAATTATTATTACATTATGCGGGCCAGTCCATCCAGTCAGTTGTGTTGAAAACCCAGACTAGTATCCAGCAAATATATTTTAGACTATGACCTTTTGAAATGTTGCAACGGCAAAAATGTGACTGAAGAAACCCTGGATCCTCTTTTTCTTTTGTCAGAACCAGTACCTCCGAAACACACTGCTAACTTTCACTCCGGCTGTCACGTTCTAACACAAATCCATTCCCCTTAACATGAAATTCCATTAATAGCTGTTAACAGCTTTGACTAGTCTTTCCTATATTTACAGTAGTCAACCCAGAGCTTGCATTCTCACACCTGTGAGAGCAGATAATAGAATACATGCTAAAGAACACCCTGTCCGCTAAGTCTCACATCAGCTTTCTTCACCTAATTACCATGATTAGACATAAAGGAAGTTATACACAAAATACATTAAAACATACAATTAAGAAACACCCCAAAAGGGGACTTTGTTTGATCTTAAATCAGCCTCACATAAGTCAGCTCTGTGAACCGGCCATTCATTCCATCATCACATACTACTTTTTTTTCCCCTGTGTGACACCAACCTGTTTCACTGCACAGGATGGATCTGTTGCAGCCATGAACTGGGTCTGTTTAGGAAAAGAGGCTGAGCTGCCTTGTAACACCTAGTGCCTTAGATAGCTTGACTTGATTTCAGTTCCCCACGTGGCCACCAGTTATTCATTAATTGTTTTCTGGAAACCGTAGATTCTGACTCCCAGAATTGTCAACAACTCATAGCTGTAAGTGAAACCAGGTAAGACTGAGTGTCAAATACATGAAATGCGACATGGTTCTAAATCTTCTGAAAAAAAGATAAGTCTTAGGCGTCAATGGAGCGCGAAAGGTAGGCACTTCTGATGTTCGTTTCCCTCTGTCCCTGGGTCCCCATAGGGGAATATGGAGGAGTTCAATCTTCACACCTCAAAAATGGTAAAAAATGTACGTCATTAATAAATGTCTGAGAGGTTTGCTGAGCAAGGCTGAGAGGAGAACCATAGAAAACCTAACAGTAACATTAATTATGATGATTTCAAAGAGGTGTTTAAATAGCATGCAGCAAGATAAAGCCATAGCAACAAGAAGAAAACAGAACATGCAAACACTTCATTTTTTGTATGACTCTCCACTCTGAAATAGGGAGCCAGTGACAGAAATGAGTCTTTAATCGTGTAAGTAAATGCTTTTTATGAGGCCTATACAAAAGGTCCCTGGATTACTATTGCATGGGAAGTTTTAATCGTGTCATTTCATTACTTTTGAGGACTTGACTTTGCAAATTTAATAACATTCTTACAGATAATGTGTGCATCCCTTATTTACAGAATATTTACTTACAGTTAACAGTTTACCAAGGAAACTGTGTGAAAATTCCGCATTTTTCACTGCATTAACAATGAACAAAAACATAGCTCACAGTAGCAATGTAAATACTTTTTCTACACATTGTTCATGTTCTGAAAAGGAAGAGAAACGTGGTTAGGCTTGTTCAGAAATGAGACAGAAATGCCATTGAGATTTCATTTCCTGTAAAATAGCTTGCAAAAGCCATATTCACTGCAGTCCTACAGCAGGTTTTGAGTAGTGCTTCATTTTGTAATATCTGTTAGATCTTTTTGAAATCACTCATTCAAGATTAAAAAGACTAAAAATGGCCTGGTTTTAATTAGCAAAAGAACCACAGCAGCTAGAGCAGATTACTCAACTGGCAGAGACAAGGAGTGTCCCTTTGAAAAGGGAGCAGAGATCATTTACCCCTATCTCTCCTCCTGATGAAGAGTGGGAAGGGAGTCTCAAGACTTCTCTAATTTGTGCAGCTCTATCAGCCTCAAAGGATCTTGTGATTTAAAGATCATCCCTGACACGTCTAATGATGGACGACAGGCCACTGGTCTCTTCTCTGCAGGCAGCAGTGTGACAGCCCAGTCAGCAATTAAACCCTTTTGAAGTAATCGTTCAAAGTACTTGCAGCCAAGCAAAAATATGAAAATGTCAGACAGCATTCTTGTGCTATGTGTTCTCATCACCATTCAAACAAATTAGCTGGACTCCAAAAATCAAGGGATGTCTTAAAATCTCATTGCTGTTTGTAAGTTATAGTTTGGGGCTTGTTTAACTCTGGCTTTCTGAGATTCAAAATATTTTGGGGTGATTTATTCAGGTTCTTCTCCGACTTTCTGGAACTAGAAAGACAGTTCTGATTTTTCAAACAAGTGCATTCAGATTTAGCAGCTTCCAGGATGCGGGGCTTTCAAACACTCTATTCCTCTCAGCCAAACATCGCGTGACTTGTGAAAAAATTGCAAGAGTTGGCAACACTGTGCATATACTACCTCATACTGGTGGCTATTAAGGGAGGAGAGACCATTTCTAACTTCTACTTTCGTCCATCTACTTGAATGGAGCATTGCCATGCAATCTCACCGCTATTCTTGCAATCTCTGGTTGCAAGAATATTAGTCAAATCGGAAATGCTAACTGCACTTTAAAAACCTATCTTCAAATTCAGAAGCTGTCCTGGGAGAACTGACCTGGGAGTGGTACTACAATGTTCACTTTAACCAGGAGAAAGCATTCTGAATACTAGTTTAGTTTAGATTTTGTTTTTAGCACAATGTGGCATATTTCTGTGAAATTCATTTCCCCATGCCCTCTTCTGTCTCCTCCCCTCCCCTCCAAAGTGATGACTACCATAAAAGAGACTTCTTGGCTCCAGATGTGCTCTGTTTCCTGCAGTAAAAATCAAAATCACTGCCTTTTTCATAAACATCTGCCAAGGATGGAGATACACTACTTAAACTGTCTGCAACTGGTTTAGTGCTAAATGAATAAATCAGTAGGATTTGACGAGCTATCCAGCATTTTCTAATTTGTTTCTACTGGCAGAAATGTTGCAGTGAGTTACATCCAAACAAGTTTGGTGGCAGCATCTGCTTTATAATGACCTAAATGTCTAAATCTAATTTTAGAAAGTGACTTGTAAAGGATTCAAGCGAGGCATTCAGAGCTTGGTTCTGATTGTTTTCACTCCTTTCAATGAAGAGCTGATTCGTGACATTTATGTAGTCACTGCTGATTTATAGTTCCATAGGAGGTCCCAAGTCTAACATAGTTGTGACCCATACACAGTAATGTATGGAGGAAGACCCTCACATTTTCAGATCAGCATATCGGTGCCTATCGTAATGGAGATGGAGGAGGGTCTAGCCCTCAAAGCCTCAAATGCTTTGACACACAGAGAGGCAAGTTTGTGGGAAGACAGAATATCTTTTAGTATCTTATCTGACAGAGTTGGAGAAAAATGGGCAAGCTCCGGTGTTCAGCAAACCTTTAGCAGGTCTGACAAGAAGCAGAAAAGTAAACCCATATTCATGTTTGACATAATTGCTCCTGGTATTAGGTAAATATGCTAATATGCTATACGCTAAATATGCTATGGCAGACCACTTGAAAGAAATATGGGTGGTCAGGAGCTGTGGAGCAGGCAGGATGCTGCCTAGGAAGAGCTACCAAGCCATTAGCTATACAACAGAGAAAAATCAGCAACAAATCTGAATGGGTCAAGAAATACTATCTCTGTACAATCTGTGACTGCTACTACCCACCGCCACTGCTTTTGTCCCCAGGATTGACTTTTCAGGGTATATTGTAACTATCCCTACTGTACAATAAGATGGAATAATTATATTATGAAATGTTCTCCATGTAATAGCAGTAGCTGGGTTTCACTTTCCTTGTTTCCGGGGGTCTTTGGTGACTTGAATGGACTGTGTCATAGCGGGCTTAGTGGGCAAATGACGCTTCACTTGTGGGGCAATGCCTACGGCAAAGGACAGGAGGTGTGAGAAGGTTTGGAGCAGGCAGTGCTGGTAACATCCAGCTGCATTTGGTATTCGGTGTCTTGGAAGCTCACTTCTGGAAGTGACTTTTGTGAGACTGTGGGGTCACTTGAAAGCTGAAAGTGGCTTGTGAATGCAAGAGTATTCTTCTTCAACCGTGTGTGTTTAAGATATATTCCATAACACATTTGACTATTGTGTCTGGAATGTGATAGTACCTGATAACGTAAGCAGGGTAAACAGCAAGAGAAGTTATGCTGAAATAAAATTTGGTGATAATATTTTCAGGGTAGTTTTAAAGGCCTTGTTTAAAAATCAGCTTCAGCTTTAGAATGGTGTCCAGGTAAGGTCATAGACCCATCAATGAATTAATTGTAGAGGAAAGTGATGGTACTGGGATGGCGCCTCTTGATCTGAATACATAATCAGCTCCTGAGAGCCATCTTTTCTTTGCTGTTGTTGTTTTTTTCCAAAATCAGCTTTGATCACAGTCTTGTAATGTTTCTGAGCTTGGAATCAGAGGTCAGAGCCATTGCCTTGAACATGGCATGGGCAAAATTTGTTAAAATTACTGCCCTATTTCTATAGAGGGGCACAAGCATCAGCTGTGGTGACCTCTCAGACTTGGACAACCCAAATGGACTGGGCTGCCTTTGGGATCTGCTTGTTGGGATGGAGCTTAAGCAAATAGCACTGCTTGGAATTTTCTGACCTCTGAAAACTATTATAATCCACCTGGAAGTAATATTAAAATATTCTTAACAATTCTGCTAACAAGAAGACCTCTGCATGTTTCTCCAGTTCTTAGCCATTGGAGGTGGCTCCCTGCATATTTCTCCATAATTCCTTTCAACTGTCCCCTGATTCAAGTCACTTCTGGGGCTCTGCCTCTGAGTAGTGCATCTAATTTTGGTTGCCAGATTTTGGTCTGATTTGGTCTTTTGACATTCAGAATTCTATTTTATGCAGAATTTAGGTTTCTGATCTTAGATGGGCATTAGTGTCCAGAAATGCTCTGTATCTATGTATTTTAGTTTATATCTAGGATAAATACAGACATTTGTCTGTCATACAGACATTATGTCATATCATACTAGCAGAAAAGAATACAAATGTAAAACCAATGCCATGCTTCTAAGCCATATAAAAAAATATACTCTTGAAGGGTATTTTAAATAAATCACAATTCGGGAATGAAATTAATCACATTAATAATCCTGATAAAATGTAAAGTCAACATTAAATGGTAAAAGGTTTTGTTACTGTATGTGATATAACGAAACCATTAAAGAATATGCTTAGTGTCTCGAGTCACGTATAGCTTTGTTTTTGTGTTTTGAGGGTTTTGTTGTATGATTTTCTTTTCTTTTAAAGCTAGTGGTAAAAACATAGTTCAGGTCAAAATAGTAAATAATGAACCACCCAAAAATTCAACTCATTTCCTATCTCTCACTGAAAAAATGTTGATTCCAGGCATGGGAGCGTAACTTTGAGCCAAACAGTAATTTCTTTATGGTGTGCATGACTCATAGGAAAGAATGCCTCATGAGGATAGCAGTAGAAAAAACTAAATAAAAAACCCATAAGTAAGTCCGTTTTAAAGAAACAGGCAAGCAAGCAAAGGGCAAAAGGTCAGAGAAGGTCCTCAACCATTTTTGCATTACTCTTGCAGTCTTCACAGTATATTTGAGTTCCTCTGCCTTGAAATGCCGTGACTGTTTCACACCACCACCACCGGCAGCTGCCAATATCAGATGCATATCAGAGGGGCCAGCACCCAAGAGAGGAAAGGCG